TTTTTTATCAAAACAACTATTAATTTGCCAGCTGAAAAAAAGAAATGAAAAAGTAAATATAGCTTTTGTAAATGAGTAGTCTTGAGTTGATGCCTTATTTTTATATTGTTATCAAGATTGAAATCATCTTTAAAAATAGATATTGAGCGATTTGTACAAAACGTTTAGGACATATATACCCATATATGATTCAAATAATTTAATATCTTTTTTTTTCCAGATGCAGGCACTAATGCCAAGATAGATGTACAGTTGTACAGTGAGACCAGCTCCTCAGCAAGGTACCGACTCTCAGCCTATGACACTGAACAGCCAATACTGAAACGTGGGAATAAGGACATGTTTCTGGTCTACACACAAGGTATGTTTGGAAATAGGATTATTTTTATTATAGAAGATGGAATCTTCATTTTCAGTTGCCATTTGGAAATTTTTCCACAATAGAAACATTTTCTGACAATTTTTTCAATCTTTTCATTTTGACAACTTCAATAGCTTAGGCTTTGTTGCAGCTGTGATATCTACATGTCACTGATATGCTATGAAATATGCTTTGAAACTGAAATGTCTATTGTTCTTACAGCTCCCCTTGGGAAAATGTCCCATGTGGTCATCACTCAGAAAGGAAAGGGGAAGAAAGCCAAATGGTAAGTTTTTTTCCCTTTATTTTTATTTATTTATCTTTTCTCCTGAAATATCTATTACTCACTTAGACAATATTAGTAAAGATAAAAGTAATGAATGGCTTTTACCATTTTAAGTGTACGTATAGTGTGTTACTGATCTCCCTTCAGGCACCTGGACAACATTAAGTTGTATGATCCTCTGGAGGAGCAGGAGTGGACCTTCCCATGTAATATCTGGCTTAAACCAGCACACAATGGAGGGGAGGAGACCCACTGTGTATGCTTCCAGAGTGAGCAGACACGCACCAGGTCAGTCACAACATGGGACTCTTAATAGAAAGTTACCTGCATTTCTTGTATATTCACTTTCCTTGCTAAAATTTTGTAACAGTAATTTATGATATTCCTTTGAGACTTTGAGATGGATGATTTTTAAGGGGGCTTAAAGGAAAAGTCCTGCAAAACAGTTCGTTTTAAAAACAGTGCGTCCATATAAATTAATTATTATGGGTACAGCAAGAAAGCTGTGATTGTGTTTGTGAGAGATTAGAACAACTACTGCAATTGTTGCTAGAGTCTAATGTATAGCAGTAACAATGTTTGTGTTAGACCATATTATTTCCATGGATTTATTGTCAATTTGTGCTAAGCAAATGCTAGAGGGTCTAGGCATTGCTTAAAGTAAATAGTAAATAAATATGTATAAAATAAAAAATTTATTAAGACTATAGCTATTTGGCATGAAGACCCATATCACAATGTGGCCATAGTTTGCTATGAGTGTAATTTAAAAATGTCACTCACATTTTGTTCACATTCCAGCTGGTTGTTCAACACCATCACTTCCAACCTGCTCCAGTTCCACCTGTGGGTCAATGCTGTGTTTGGAGGTCCACGTGAGCACCCCTGCACCCTGTCCCGTCCTCTCACAGTCCTGACCCTGTTCTCCCTGTATGTCAACTACCTGCTGGGGAACATCCTGCTCACTGTGGCTTTTCCACAGCCTGCCAGTGGTGAAAAACAGCTGGTGTCTGGGGACCTCTTCATCATTGCATTTGGTGTCCACTTTGTCATCAAGCTGTTCAACTGCCTGGTGGAGTTCACCCTGTGTAACACAGTGACCAAACGCCTCTGCTGGATGTATGATATCCTCAACATGGACCCCCTGGGATGGACTGACCAGCCTGACACTGGTGGGGGAGGAAGAATCAGCATGGCCCGCCAGGCCTGCAGGGATGCTCCCCCAGATGATGAGGAGGCCTTTATTCTCTCTGGAGATGCAGGCATCCCAGCCAGTGTTGGTGTGGAGGATGACACCATGGTCTACATAGGCCAGGACCAATATCTGGTGGAGGCTGAGGTCCATCATGGAGCTTCTCAAAGTGAGATACTGGACACTGCAGATATCCCTGTGGAACTGACTTACACAGCTTGTGGTGGGGAACAGAAGCTGGAGGAATTCAAACCCTCAGGTATTTTCTTTACATTGGACTGTTTTTAAACAGTATTAAAATACTTGTCAATAATCTTCTTATTGGTGGAATTTTTGTTAAGTTTTTAATACCACAATTATTGGGCAATAACAATATTTCTGGGTTTTAGTATAGGTTTAAGAATCTCCCTGGTTTGTCTTAATAATTTCTGGTGTAAGAATCATCTGATATGGATAGAAACACCAGCATCACCTATCAGTAAGTAAATATGCAAACACCCTGTATTTCAGCCATTCCTAAAGTGGCCAGGGGCTCTGTGAGTGCCAAGGACTCTCATCTCAACCTGAGTAACACCCTCCTTGGAGACAAGCTCCAGCCCCTGCTGTCAGCCTGGCAGCCCAGTGATATGCCCTTTGAGGAGATGGATGAAATGCCAGCAAAGGCACTGTCCTCCCATGCCATCATCAGGTATGGTAATTACTCTCAAACTCTCGAGCCACACTTCATTTAATCAACATTCTACTAATTGTATTGTATTGTAATTTTAGTTATAGTATATAAATAAAGAGTAATTCTTTGCCATATTTCATTATTTTTTTTTTTACATCTTCCAGCCCCATTCCCCCAACCGCTGGGCCAGGGAAGAGACAGAGACGCCACACTATGGTGTTCAACAGGGAGGAGATGCCATTCAGCAGGCAGGCATCACTGGCCTCCAAGACTGAACTCATGAGGCAGAACCTTGCCAAGAAACGCCTCAGCCACATGGATGTAGAGACCTCCACTGCAAGAGTTTGCCAAGATATCAGACTGCAGAGGTATGTATTACATATTTCTAGTGATATCTGATGCTGTATTTAGTGATGATTTTAACATAAGTTACTCATGGTGTTTACAATTGTTACAGGTTACGCCTATAGATGCAGTTTGTATACAAACATTATATTTAAATAAGAATTTTATTTTCAAAGGTAGTAATTTGAAAAAGAAATGAAAATTATGCATAAAATTTTGCTGAAATTTGATTAAGGCTGGATCTCAGTTTAGATATGTCATCTCAAAAATATATCTGTAATCATCCCAGGTCACAGTCTGATACCACCATCTTGCAGACCAATGACAACATTAACAATAACAATGACATCAGAGGTGGTCCTGAGACTGGCAACACCAACATGACAGCAAGGTAATTAATACAGGGGAGAGGAAAGCGACTTATATATATGTTCATTTTTTTTTTTTTGTATTCACTTGTCTAATTTATTAATATTTTATTATTATTTTGTTTTATTTTGATTTTTTCCATGCTGCATATTTATAAATTTTTGTGAAATCTTTTTTCCTATTACAGAGATGATGCCAGTTCTATTTCTGCCCATGACAACGTTGTACAACAAGGCAGCATGGTAGATGGCACCATAAACCAGGACAGCATGGCAAGTGTGTTCGAGTCTGCCTTTGATTTCTTGGATGCAGCTCCACAGAGGAGCAGCCAGCATGCTGTGCTTCAACTGGAAGATGGTAAGTGCTGAACTCGTGGTTTTAAATGGTTCAGTATATATTGTCAGTGTCTACATTTTAAGATTTTTCTCATATTTTTGGTGTCTGTTGATTTTCCTTTCGGTCTATGTTTTCAGTTTTAAAGAATGTTTTTATAAAAGGTGGCTTAGTATTAAAACAATAAAAGTATTACTGATATTATTTTCTTTATTATAATTATTATAATGAAATTTGTTTCTTTTTGTCTGGTGTCATTTTTTTGTTAATTTTTAAATACTCCAGATGATGGCAGTCCTGGTGATGACCTCAAAAAACCATCTCTAACATCAACACAGCAGCTAACTGATGCCCAGCTACTTCAGCTAGAGATGGAGGCAACAGGAGAGATGAAGAAGAAACTCCCACACTATGTGCTTTACATCATTATTGTCCTTCTCCTGTGCTCTGTCTTCATCTCTCTGTTCTTCACTGAGATCTACATGATTGAGCTGACCACAGAGAGCTCATACCGCTGGGCCTGTCTTGTCGTGTTTGCTCTGCTGGAGGAGGTGTTCATCTTTGAACCCCTGAAAGTGGCCTCTGTTGTCATCTACAGAGCTGTGTTCCAAGCAGCAAATAATAGATAACTTGTGATACTCTGCTGAATGTCTGAGGATGTAGTTGACTTTTAAAGAAATTTTTAATCCTCAGCACTGGATTTTAGACAACTTTCGTTTTTTCAATTTTTCACACTGCCAATAGTTTTTCTTCAAAACAAAACAGAATGAAAGCAAGTACTACAAACTGAACTTTTATCTTAGCCTCAAAACCAACATACTATGTTATCACATTGAACATTTTATTAACACTGTTACTGAAATGAATAATTTATCAGACTGATTGCCTCAAAAAAAAAAAAAAAGGTTAAATTTGAGATAATTTCATGTATGTATAATTATGAGAAAAACTACTTACTTCATGTCGTTATCACTCAATGTAAAATTATTTCACTTATTTAGTAAGAAGTTAGATTTTTAAAAAGTTGACAGTTTTTCTTAAATTATGAGCACTAAGTAAGTGATACTATTTTAGGTTATTGGAACCTTAAATTATTTCATTATTTTAAAATTTTTCATCATTTCAATCATAAGGTTTAACTTTGTGACAAAATTGCCAGAAATATTTAATCATTTGAACATTAGCTCTCACAGCCCTGCATGTAAATCATTTTTCCATCATCATCTTGAAATGATCTGTTTTTCATTTCAACTCAGCCATTGCATTGTAGACAAATAAAACTCATGTATATATTTTAACCATGTGCTCAATTTTTGTAATTTTCTGAGAAAAAAACATTAACCTGGGCATAGGTGTAAATCACTGAAGGGGAGTTAAATGGTTCTTTTTCTCAAAAATTAAAACATCCAATATCAATTTTTTTTTATTTTGTTTTATTATAAAAACTTACAAAATATTTCAAATAAACTATTAATTTTGTTATCTTTCTAACTGCTATTCATTAACATATCCTGCTAACTGGGGATGTCACTGTTTTTAGGGCCGAACAACGAATAAAAATTATAAAATGATAACTTCTTGCCATTTGCAGTCATTTTCTGTGCACATTGATTTCTGATCACTTCAGAGGTTGACAAATGACAAGAAAAGTTGGGGTTGTCAAAGTGAATATACCTTTCAACAGCAGAGCAGGCTTTACTCTGATCTTATATATATATATCAGTATGGGTGGGTGTCCACATGTTACACCAGACACATCAACACCCCTGCTTCTCTTGTTAAACCCTGAAGTGATCAAAATTCACAGAAACTTACTGCAAGTGAACAGAAATTATCATTATAGTTTTAATTCATTTTTAGGTCCCAGAAAGTGACATTCCCTTAAGGTACATACCAACTGAGCATCGATGGAGCATGGATTCCCAATAACACTTGTAAACCACTTCTACTAGTTTCTTATACGACTCAAATAAATTCAACATGCCAAGGGATAAACTGAATAGATCACTCAATCAGCCGTAAAAGTGCTTGAGACGGCTCCTTTCTTTAAATTTTTGGTCGGAAATTTAACCTACTTTCGTGACCTACTTTTCTGCCCCATTGACATACAGCATAGAATGCTAGCAGAAAAATCTGTTCAAACATCACTGGGGTAAAATTAAATAATGCCTTTTGGTAATTCTCTTAGTTATACTACTTGAAACTACATGTATATGCTGGCATTTGGTCGGTTTTTGTGACAAAAAATTGACTTTGTATGTATCTTTAAAATATTATAAGTTGTGCTTCTCTTTTTAAACTCTGAAGTGATCATAATGCACAGAAACTTACTGCAAGTGAATAAAAATTATCGCAAGTTTTTAAAATAAAAAT